TATTGAAACTGGACATGGTCTCACTGATTTAATTATTGATGTAACTGAGTTTAAATTCCAAAGTGCTTCAGAATTTGAGCTAAATTCTTTGTTGTTTTCTAATTATAAGAATACCCAAGCAGGAAAAGCTTTGATTGGAATAATACCACACGGTGGTGGCATATTATTTAGTGATATATATCCAGGCTCTATCTCAGATTCAGATCTAACAGAAAAATCTGATACTATTCTGTTTGTAGAGAAAGATCATGAGATTATGAGTGATAGAGGTTTTTCAATACAAGAGTTTTGCGCAATGAAGGGAATAACATTAAATCGTCCAAAACAGAAAGATTATGATCAATTTTCTCAAATTGATGTGGCCCGTAACTTTGACATAGCTTCAACACGTATTCACATTGAAAGGTACATTGGAAGTATACGGGATTGGGGAATTATGAACACTGTGTGGCCCTAGAATATAATGGATTTATTATCTTCAACATGGCAAATGTTAGCACACATAAATTTAACAATGCCTCCTATAGGACCATAAAAATAGTATTTAACAAAATTGCTTTCATTATATAGTTTAATTTATTTCTCTTAAAACTTGTAGGTCAATTATATATTATAATTATATTCAGCAACTTTAAATGTTATAATAAAATACTAAAATCCAATTCATCAACAAAATAAATAATAGGTGCTTTTTTAGCAATTGCTTTAATTACTGTTCGCAATGGTTTAAGGGTAAAAAAATCTGGAAGTTGACCAGTTATAGCTTTCAAGAAATTATTTAATTCTTTGATTTCCATATGATCCCATTTTATTATCTTATGATTGTGATAGATGGAATCTACAAGCTTTTTGATAATTTGCATTACTGTGCAATTACGACAAACTAGAAAAAAATTTGAAGGTTCTGTTTCAGGGTGGTACGACTGTAAAACGCAATATTTTGCATCAGTGCATAGCATTTGAATTTGGCATTGAACATAATATAGTGGATAATCACTAAGAGATGTTAAAGGCCCATCGGTAAATTATGCACGAGTTTTCACTTCTAGTAAAATCCCGCAAGGACCTAAACCATCAGGGCTGCATCCATACTTTTTATCAAAAGGGTGATCAAAGAATCCGCATTTTTCAATTTTGCATTTACTAATTTTTTCAAAGTTTTTTATTGCTATTTCTTCATAAAAGATACCCCGTTGAATATTTTTTATATAACTCATATCAGGGGTGCTAGTACCATTTTTGACGACATCCCAAATCAATGAATATTGTACATTTCCATACATCCCTCGTAATGCTGGTAGTCGACTTGCAGTAATTTTAAACTTTCTGCACTCATGCCACTCATTGGTACCTTGCTTTACATCCATATAGTTACTACCATAATGCTTTGGTGATTTCAAAAAACTTAAGTCTATTTTAATGTTTTCAATATTACTTTTCAGCTGCTCGTTTATTTCATTATGTAGTGGTATGTTTTTGCAATTTTGATAGACTAGATCTGTTGTTTCAACTTGAATTTTTAAAGTATTCTGATTTATTAAAAGAATTTTAAAAGAATCATTTTGGTGTATATTTACATTTGTACTTGTGCGAGTTTTAATTATAGATTCATTATCTACATAACATTTTGTTTGCTCTATTTTTTCATTTTCTACTTCTATCACACTTTCATCAAACAATTGTGATTTGCAATATTCATGATCAGCTAATCCAAAAGCTGTTTTTAATGTATATTTGTAATGCAAATGTTGTTCAACAGAAGTCTGTATCCCAAGTGTTGAATTAATTAAAACAGAATAAATATGTATTTCAATCGGTTTTTCCTTTTTCAATTGTTCTTTTAGTTTTTTTACAATCAAATTTAAATCTCTTTTATAATTGCTTGAATTAGGATCAGCAGGAGATATTTTTAATTTACCATCTTTTTTTTTAATTTGGCTGATTTTGGTTTTATGTTTTTAAGTGGAACCATAGGTATAGACCCTTTTGTAGACCGTTTGTGCCATTTTTGTAGTTGTTGTGTGCACGACATTTCTAAAATTTTCTCATTAGTTTCAAAATAATGTTTTAAATATAATAAAAGAGCTAGAATATGACAACACAATCCACGAGAGCCTATCGGACAACTAAAATATGCTCGTTTAGGAGTTATGTTTTCAAATAACACAACAGCAGGTCGTATGTCAGTACCATACAACTTTTTAATCATTTCTTGGACATATATTACATTATTATACTGCAGTGATTTCACTGAAACGATTTTCCTGCTTTGTAGCATTCTTACAGCTTTTTTCTGTTGGCCAATATTTCCCTGCTTTTTATATGAACAATAATTTAAAAATGTTTCCTCGTTTACAAGAGGGTACAAGGTTTCATCAGAAGACTATTTGATTTTACTTGAGGTATATATAACGGGTTGAGACTGCATTCAAACGTATAATTCCTTTTTGCTTTGTCTCTCGATCGTTTGACTAAATTTGGATACAAAGAAAACTTTTAAATTTTTAGGCGCAACTCTTCCAATGTTACTGATACTGATTGCCCAGTTTCTTTGAGCCACATCATACATTGTATTTTATTTAAAAAAATTAAATATTATCTGACATTTTATAACTTTAAACGTAAATAAACATTTTCAGTAAAATACCATAATAAGTAGATTTCACAATTAATATAAACCCAATTACTTTTAACAACTCGTTTTTCGCTTCTCAATCAATCATATTTTCAATATGACTTTTAAATTAAGCCACTGTTTTTATTTAAAAAGATTTGAAGTTTATATAAACAAAACTTTCAATAAAAATCAGACTTAAAACGGTTTTGTTGTTATTTATAAAGGTACCATTTTTATTTTTTTCCCTACAAACCGCGTTATATGAATTTGGCTAATTGTACTTCTTTCTTTGTTAGATAAAGACGTTTCTTACGAAGAAAAAAGTATGATTTTCTCTGCTATGCTTCAATATGATCTGGCAAACTCTGATTATTTTAAAATTGACACTAGATTGCTCATTGAAGTGGAAAACAAGATTAGTATTGATCAAAGAGTTTACAATGATCCTTTAAGTTTATTATTACTAGTTGATCAATTCTCCTATTTGATGTTTGATAGAATTGGGTTGGATAAACAAAGGATTAGAGATTGGTTTGCCCTCCCACTTCAGTATTGGTGCACACATTTTGCTAAATCTCAAGTTGTTGTAAATGATTCTTCTGAAAGAGCAATAGAAATGATGCAACAGTTTGTTCACAGATAAAATAAAAAAGAATAAATTCAGAACAAACTACTTACTGTTGATAAAGCTAAATTTACTACAAAAAGGCAGGGGAAAAAGTCGTCAAGTTTGTCTAAGAAAAAGTCAATTGACTTTCTAAAATGGAAAAAATGGTTTAAAAATGATGGATAATCAGACAAATTTATTTTAACGAACTTTAATATTATTTTAAATAACTAATAATCAATTAAAAATAAATCTTCATTCATTAAAAAATTCAACTGTAACTATACTTATAATTCGCTGTAAAATAATTCATTTTTTTGCAATTTTTAACACTATTTAACACAATAAAACAGCAAAAGTTAGCAAATTCTGCTTTAACTACCCTATCTAGTTGAAAATATACATCAATACCTATCTTATAAAAAAAGGTCAGTTCAAAATTTTGATATAATTACCTCCCCCAAGCTTTACAAATATAGTCATTTTTGGACTATTTTTGTTGATTAAAATGGGTGTAGGGGAGTCACAATATTGGTCCGATCAGGCTAATTTTTTCCTAATTAAAGTTAGTTTTAACACCTATGTCCCATATTTCAAGGGGTAGTTAATTGAAATTCAATGATTTCCTCAAAAGCAAGTACTCTAATATATATATATATATATATATATATATATATTTATATATATATATATATATATATATATATATATATATATATATATATATATATATATATATATATATATATATATATATATATATATATATATATATATATATATATATATATATATATATATATATATATATTAGAGATAGAATATTGAGTTTGAATTAGATGGTCTATACAACATTTTCTACATAAGAAATATGCTGGTTAAATCGAATCATCGGTTAAAACCTATCTATTGTTCTACACTGCACGACATAATGATAAGACACCCAAAAAATATTTATAAAACTCTACTATACATTTACATTTAAAAACTAATTTTTATTGTAAATGAAAGCAATGGGTTTATAACACTAAACAACATTTTAACAAATTTATTTTTAAAGTAACAAGCTTTTTATAAAAAAAAAACGTTTTTTCAGTGCGACAAAATTATAAGACACTTTTTTAAAAAACGTTTTATTTTGTGGGCTATTAAGAATATTTATTTGATGTAAACACCACAGACGGTTTTTTAACTTTAAACTTTTGTGAACTGTGAAAAGAAAAAAGTGCTCTCTAATTTATCGAAAATGGAAAGCCGAACTTTGATTAAAAACTACGTTTGTAGTCCTCATATATATAGAATAAAAAAAAGTCCCGGGCGTCCATCAACATTAAGTGACCGTTATAGACAAAAATTTTTGAGACAAGCTTCAAGTTTTTCATTAACTGCTCGTCAAATTGCTGCAAAAGCAGGTGTGATTGCTAATTTACGTACCGTTCAGCGAGTTATTGATAATGTTTTTCACCTTTTGCGCAAAAACTTCAGGGAAAACCACCTTTGACAACAAATTACATAAACAATTCAATAACTTTTGCAACCACGTAACATGGAAAGAAGAGTGGCAACTAGTAGTACTTTCTGACGAAAAACGATTTTGTCTTAATAGGCCAAATAGATAGAACTATTATTTTCACGATTTGTGTAAAGAACCAGTACCACATCAACAACATCAAATGGGTGGTGGTGGTTTAATGATTTGGTGTGCAATTGGGTATTATGGTAAATCAAAAATTCAATTTATTGACGATAAAATGAAGGGTAAGGGTTATCAAACAATTTTTCAAGAATTTTAAAGACGTCAAGCATTTGTATTAAGTGGTGAAAATTTTGTTCTTCAGCAAGATAATGCTAACGTTCATACAGCTAAGATAGTAAAAAAATATTTCAACAGCAAAAAAATTGTAACATTGAAGTGGCCAGACCTTAACATTGTTATGAATGCTTGGTCACAGCTGCCACATATAGTGTTTGAAGGTGGTAAGCAATATATATTTTACTAGCTGACTTGAAATCATCCATAGCATCTGCATGGGATGCAATTGACATTTTCTACATAGAAAAGTTGTATTATTATTTACTTTTCAAAATGATTGAAGTGATTCAAAAACACGGTAAAAATAACCACAATTGATTTTTCTAAATTGAGACGTCTTTTCATATAAATGACAACTTATATGAATTTTGTCTAAAAGTGTTTTATAATTTTGTTGCACTAAAAAAACAGTTTTTTTTTTTTTTTAATAAAATGCGAGTTACATTTAAAATAAATTTTTTAAAATGTTGTTTAGTCTTGTAATCCTTTTACTCTTATTTACTATAAAAGTTAGTTTTCAAGTATAAATGTATAGTAGAGTTTTATAATTATTTTTTGGGTGTCTTATCATTATGTCGCGCAGTGTATTTAATAATTACAATGTCATTTAATATGATCTAGTTAAACTAAAACATTTTTGGAGTTTTTGTTCAAAGTGTTATGTTTCTATTCGAGACTCAAACATACCAAATAGAAAGCAAAATTTTATACGCCATTTTTACCACTGTCAGTTTTCATCAAAATTATACAAATAGCATTATAGTTTTTAAAACTGTATAAAGGCATACCCAGTGGGCAAGGACAAAAAAAAAACGTTTTTTAAACGTCTTATTCACGTTTTATACGTCTTTTGAACGTCTTTTGAACGTCTTTTGAACGTTCAAAAGACGTCTTTTTTGGTCAGGTGCTCACTAGGTAGAGTATTCAAAGGGTTTTCAGTAGAAAAAGAAATGGAGTCAATTATCTTTTAATTTAGCTAATTTATGGGGCTTCAAAGTTAGGAAATTAGAGGAATCATTTTTACTTTTTTGAAGAGATTTTTTTTTGAATCTTTCAGCCTATGATAATTTTTGTATCTGGAGTTATATTTTTTGCTTAATAAAGTCATTAGGATACAAAAATAAGGGAAAATGGAAACATGGATTGCTTACTGCTATATTTATTGTATTTTTAAGTAACAGGTTTGCTTGAAGACAATAAAAGTTTGAGTCATAGTAATGATTTCGAATTGCTTTGATGACATTTCAATACACTTAAATTTCTTTTTTTTATGTTTTTTGAGAACTACAATTATTACTTGATTAAAATATTTTTTTTTTTTTTTAAGTAATTTATATTGAAAAAGGTTTCCGTTTCTAATTTGTTGCGATGCTTTAAACGTTTGATAAAATCACATAAAGATAAAGTTAAAAAAAATTCCTATTAAGCTGTTATAAAAAGAATTATTCCTAGCAAACATGGTTAATAACAAAAAACATGGTTAATAAAAAAAAAATGATTAATAAAAAAATGAATAAATAGTGGTTTTAGCATATGCACAATTCAAAAAAAGAACTTATATAAAAGATTTATATAATATATAAATAACCTTTTTTACAATTTTGCTCAATACTTTGTAGCACCTCAAATAAATAAAACAAATTAAAAAAAAAAAAGTTTAACTGATCTTTATAAACCTGCAGAAACTATAACTTTTGGAGCGATATGTTGTCACGAGCCAATATAACTGTGATAATTTATTAATATTAATTTGCTTATTTGTTCACTTTGGATTTTTTTATATTTATAAAGTAAAATAAAAAAGAATAGAAGATAGTTACCTAGCTTTATCACATGCAGCTTGCAAAGTCATATTTTGTCTCTCAGCAAGTTGCAATTTATTATCTTCACTTAACTCGTTATACTTTGGATGATTTTCCAACGATATTAAAGCTTTTTCAGAGAAGTATTCAATACACTTACTTTCTAGGTTTTTTAACTGAAACTCTTGCGCAGTAATTAACAGCTCAAAAGTTGGTACTTTCTTCAAAAGAAATTCTTCGCATAAATTATGAATTTTATTTATCTGGTATTCACGTGACAAAATTAGCAAACAATCAATATTAGTTTTATCTAGAAAAAATAATTAAAAGATGAGAAAATGATAACTATTTTCTTACAGTTTGCGAAAAATAAAGTTACTATTTTGTTTAATATAAACTTGTGACTCATTTATATAATAAATCAAATATACTATCATATTTATTAAAAAAAAATAAAACTAAAAATATTTTGTTTTAAAATATTAAATAAAGTATTTATTTCAATATTGCTGAATGCTTAGGCTGTTTATATGAGTAATATAATATATGTTACTCATACAGGCAGCATAAATATTCATACCAAATATGATATTTTTATGATTAAATATGATATCATTGTTAAAATATCTTTAATTTAATCTAATATATTATTATATATATAATTTTTTGTTATTTAGGTGCCCCAAGAAGACCTAACGGTCTTGTAACAGAGCATATGTATTTTGACTGTTCTTCAGCATGTTGTATTTTATATAAATGCAATTTGTCGTTGTTTTTCACAATTAAAGTTTAGATTTTAAAAATTAAAATAGCGGCTAATTAATAAGGGTTTAAAGTTATGACAATAACTTTAGCAATTAAGCAAAGAAATATGCACCTCAAGAGAAGCATCTTTAGGAATCTAGCTATCTGAAAAAATAAAAACTGTTAATTATTTTTATAAAAGTAAGTTCAACAATAATATTAGGGTTTGCAAAAACTGCTGATTTTTCCAACACAAGCATAACACGATTTTTTTAAATGTCTTACTGCTTTACTATGAAACTTTACTATAATAATGTTGTATTTCATTAAAAAGGAAAAACTAAAATAGAAATAGTTAGGTGAAGAGTAATTAATGTAGAGAAAAATTAACGCAGTTGACTTATCTATGTAGTTTGACTCAAATAGAACAAACTATGCAAGTTTCTTAATTTATCAAAATTTATGCACTTAAAAAAAACGAAAGGTTTATTTACCATTGTATAGTTTATTTAAGAATGTGAAATGTTTACTCATATTGCATGATGGTTTACAGTCATATTTGTTTATTTTCTAAACATCGCTGTTAGCGTTAAAAGAAGTACTTTATTAAACAAATTGATTAAATTTAAAAATATTTATTGATTATTCATTTTCGCAACAATCAGTGTATTTTAGTTGTATCCTAAAATAATCATTATATTGACAATATCGACAACACTTGTTAAATAAATGTCTTGTCACAATGTTAAATAAAAGTCTTTTACGTTTTCTATCACTATTTAAAAAACAAAAAGACTTCTTTTGATCTTACTGCTTGTTGCATTACTCAAACTGCTTATCATTACGTTGAAGTGATTTTCATGTTACACTACATAAAAATGCATTTACATATCATTTGGAATTAATATATTAAACTTATAAAAGTTTAAGTAAATTACAAGTTTCATAAGAAGGTAACTTAAATATTAGTAAAGTATGCGTTAAACCTCCGACCTCTTGTTTAAATAGCAACTTTTTTAACTTCTAAATGCCTGATTTTTATTTAATCTTTTAATAAAATCTTGGAAAATGTACTTTATATGTGGTTTGCAATCTTTGCATAAGCTTTTTACCGGTATTCATGACAAGGAAACCTTTAGATTTAATTAATTCCCCGCTTCTTCATAGTTATTCTGTAAATTTTTGGAAAGTTTTCAAAACATTTTAAACTATGTGAGCAGGTTTTAAAGAGTATAAATTTAGTAAACTATACTTTTTATACTTATGTATACATAATTTAAACGCTTTGCGTTCCTTGACAATGACCATGTCCACTTGTTCACTATGCAATAAATATTTATACAATAAATAATTTAAAACAGAAGTATTCAATTAATCAGAAAATTTAAACATATTATAATGTTTGAATATTTTATCTATATATTTAATTGTTAATTATTTTGCATTTTTTTAATAAAGTAATTCAAACAAATAAAATCTTTGAAAATAATAAACTATTTTAAAGCATTTTTCAAATGGTTGTACCTGAAATCTGGTGTCCAAATGGATATATATAGTTAAGCATTTCTTGAATATTCTCTTTGTTTTTATTTGGCAGAGATATGACGCGTTTATTTTTTTCAACAAAGTTATCTGACTCTAACAACACCTTGAATACGGGCGAACTCGATGATAAAACGTAGCGGTGTACGTAAAGTTCTTCGCCTTCAACCAAAAATGTTATATCAAATTTTTTGTTAAATTCCCAAAAGCTTTTGTCCATTTAAACTAAAATGTTATAATAATAACAGTTCTTATTACCTAAAAATTATAAAAAAAATAGAAATAAATCAAATAATATAAAAAGATTTTTAAAAATAGACTAAAAATAATTTTTCCCTCATCAATAAAAAAACTTTATAAAAATATTATTTACTTTTTGTTACAATTTTAGTTGCAAAAGGATTCAAAAGCAAAATAAGAGAATAATATTAAACCAAGCGTAAAAGCGTCTGGATGTGCAAAAACAGTTTAAATATGGAGTTTAGGTTATTCAAGCGTAAAACATCAGGATGCACAAACAATGCAAGCAAGTAATATTAGGTCATGCGTAAAGTATTTACAAACAATATTAAAAAGGATTTATTTGCACGTTGACAATTATATTCATTGCGATGAAACCAATCTGTTGGTTGCCCAGTCCTACATCTTGAAATATGTCCTACACCGTGAAATTTGTATTAATAATATGGATTTGTATGTTCCGTACAATAATATTTGATTTTATAAATATTTTGACCTTTTGAAGATAGAGTTTACATATTATGCAACCGTTAGCTATATATTTGAATAATCAACCTTCTTTACTGGTTAATTGGACTTTAGAAGAAGTATGTGTTTTTAGTAGATTAGGTACATGTTTAAATGCAATTAATGGCTAGAAATTAGAAAAAAACCTCCTTTACTTTTTCATTTAAAGACAGATATTAAAAGGTTCGTTCCGGTAATAAAAGCTTTGCAGTTCAAACTAGTGTAAAAAGTTGTAGTTAGAGAAAATAATTTCTTTAGACTGATTTTGGTGAGCAAGTGTTAAGATTTTTGCAATATGAAATAGGTTTTCAAATACATTATCAATATATTCACATTATTATTGCTACGATTTTACTTCTGCTAAATGTTGTTTTTCCAAACTGTAATCAGAGGTGAAAACAATTAATCTTTTAGTGAAATTATAATAAATCACATTAAAGAACTGTTGTAGTTTAAGTAATCATGAATATAGATTTCTTGATAATTTCTATGATAATTTTCAATTTTTTTTATTGCTGCTTTAAAGAATGATTGATATGTCTAAGAAATTAGTAACCTAATTTGTTACCATCTGTTAAAAATTCTTTACCCAGATTTGTTATACCCAGAAAAAAACGTTCTTTAGAATTTTTATAAACTTTTGAAACATATAGCCTATAGAAATTTTATCGAATTTCTACAGAATGTCTATTAATGTCTATAGAAATTGCTGTACAACTTTTTTATATATAGAAAAAAAAGTAGAAATAAAAGTTCTATAGAAATTCCAATAGAAATATACAAAGGTTCTATAGAAATTTTATAGAATTCTTTAAAATTTCTATAGGCCTTATGTTTCAAGAGTTTATAGCATTTCTATAGAATTATTTTTCCTGGGTAAAGCTAATTGAATTATCTAACTTTTTTAAAGAATAGTTAAACTTTACAATGTTCATGTGCTCTAGCCAGATTATGAAATCATCATCAATATATCTGTAATAAGACTGTTGTGTGTCATTGACTTCTTTTTAGGAAAAGTACTTCGGTAAGACTTAAAAAAAAAGGTACATTATTTATATATATTTTTAAAATTAGTAATTTTTTAATCGGGCTTCAAGGTTCAAGATAATTGTATAAAATAATTTTTTCATATTTTATGAAGCTGTCTTTCTATTTAACTTTTTCCCTTTTCTTATTTTTATTTCTTATTTATTTCTTACTTATTTCTTTCTTTTTCTTACTTTTCTAACGTCATTAAAGTGTATAAAATAAAGTTTGTAAATTATACACAGGGTTACTGTTAGTAAAAGTTTTATTAATGGTTTGCTTAAGTTTCGTAAAGTGCATATTCATTCATTTTTTGATCGTTCAACTTACCCTACACTTTTGCTCAACTTACCCTGCTGGGGCAGGTTGAGCAGCTCCGCAAACTTTAAGCAATATCTTTTTAAAAAAAATCAGAAAATATTCTTTTTTTCTTAACAAATATTAAACAAGTTAAATCTTTCAAAAAGTGAAATATTTATGTTATTCTGACGCACCATTCATGAGATCTGTTAGATTTAGTAAAAATTGCTCAACTAGCCCCGCTCTTTCCTTTCTTTGTCTGTTCCACTGTTTTGGTGGAACATTTGATCATAAATAAAAAACAATTTTTTTTGAAAAGAAAGGTTTTTGATTATATAATAAGTTTACGATTAAATCTTTTCTCTATAGAATTCTAATATCTTATGATCCAAAAGTTAAATCTATTATCTTATGATCCAAAAGTTAAATCTATTATCTTATGATCCAAAAGTTAAATTATGATCTAAAAGTTAAAATACATAGATTGTGTGCTATTAAATAGATAATGTAAGTCACATGTCAAATACAACTTTCCGAATTGCGCGAACTAAATGCTCTTGGTAGAGTAGGGTGGGGTAATGTTGGTCTAAAGGGTAATGTGTATCTAATCAACATTTATCAGATTTTCAAAAGAAAAGTTTAGGTAGAACTTATTATTTCTGTATGTTATAGGTGGTTAAAACAGCTCTCTAAATTTTAACTATCTGATTGTTGGTCAAACATTTTTGGGTGGGGTAATGTGGGTCTATATGTCAATGTGTTTTGTACTATCAAGAACCTAATGCTTGTGCAACTAATATATAACATTTGCAAAACCAGCACAATAGGGGTGTGTGACACCCCTCCCTCCCCATTAATGATTTTTTCGTTCATTAAATTGGCAAATTTGACCCTTTTTGACTAGTTAGTCGGCAAATGTAGACCCTTTCGACAAGTTAGTTAGTAAATTTAGACAATAAGTCGGCAAATGTTGTTATGGCAGTCGGCAAGTTTTAAAAATCGAGGACTTTTTTTTTATGGTCGGCAAAAGTTGTAATGGCTTCTTATTCAGAAAGTGTTTAGAGATCATGTACAACTTGTTTCCAAAGCTTCTCATATTTTCTATGGCATGGAAGCACGTCAAAACTTATTGTGGGTAAAATTCTATTCAGAAAGCATCAAAAGAGTTCTTCGTTTAAATGTTTATTTGTGCCTAAATAAATTTTTGTTATAAAAATTTACATAATGAGTTTATGAATAATTCTTTTAATTATTTAATATTTAAAGTCATTTTTTTAAAAAGTTTATTTATGCAATATTTCCTATTTTATCTTCCAATAACCAATATACAAAACGTGCATAGATTTTTTTATTTTTAAATCAACACAATTTTCTATAGAATTTTGACACAAATGGACAACTACAAAATGCTTATAGAATATTAATTGAATCGCACTTGGTAGCCTAAAGAAACCTCTATTTCTATAGGCCATTTGTTTCAAAATGCCATAAAAAAAAATGATATAAATTATTTTTTAAAGAAAAATTACACAAATTTTCATATGTGGTAGGGTAAAAAAATAAGTGACAATTTGTTTTTAACTCATAAATTATATTCTTAAGAGTTTAAATAGTGTTTAAACAGTTTTACTTCTCGTGGTTGTTTCTGATTTGTCAAATATTCTGAAGTAACAAAATATTCTTCAATTGAAACAGTATAAGTTCATAAGAAAACTGGATTTAAAACTTTAGTTTGTTAACTATGGTGTTTTAGAAATTTCAACTCAAAAACACTTTGCTTTTGACAAATTCAGAGCATATATATCAGCAAAATTTGATAAGTAAAAGTTTTATAACATTGAATTGAAAAATATTTTGCGATTGTAAATTTACGGCTGTGAAAATTACTAGAGTAAAATTTCCGCCGGTAGCATTTTACACCGATAAAAAATTTTATAACATTGACCCCTGAGGTCAATGTTATAAAATTTTTTATAACTTCGACCCCATTATTTATGTTATAAAACTTTTTATCGGTTATAAAACTGTTATAAAACTTTTTATCAGCGTAAAATGCTACCGGCGGACTTTTTACTCTGGAATTTTGACAGCTGTAAATTTAGAGACGTGAAATGTTTATTCATTCAATGTTATAAAACTTTTACAGACTACAGATGCTCTGAATTTATTTTCGGAAATCAACTGTCCGAATCAATAACATAAAAGGTTATTAAAAACAAAATGTTTTGAGTTGAAAACATCAAAGTTAACAAAAATTAACAGTTTCTTATGGATTTGGATATAGGCTGTTCCAATTCTGATGAAAAAATATTTTGTTGCTTTAGAATATTTGTCAAATCAGAGACAACCACGAGAAGTAAAACTGCTCTAACAGTATTTAAACTGTTAAGAATACAATAACAAAATTTGTTTAGCTTTTCAATAAAAATCACTTACACTACTTTCTATAGAAAGGTTTCTTCAAACACAAGTTGTTAGTCCTTGGTCTTGCCTTTAACCCAAAAACTAAGACCTTGGCCGTGAAACTTTTG